CCTCTTATCTGATTGCCGAATCAAGGCCATTATCGATAGTGTTACCGGTTTATGTGCATCGAGAATTTCGAAAGTTTCGTTGCAAAGCAGCGTCAAAGCTGTCAGCCTGTCATCGAATCATTTCGAATTACTCTCCAAATTTCCCGCTGTAACGCACCCAGTCGATTTACCTCGTGAGATTAAACACGAAACTGTACATCATATTCGTACGATTCCTGGGCTACCCATTACTTGTAAAGCTCGACGATTGTCTTCTAATAAATTTTTAATTGCTAGACGTGAATTTGACGATATGATACGAGCAGGCACAGCTCGTCTCTCGGAACGCTCGGGGAAGATTTAGCACGGAAAGGTGACCTCGGATGGTGACCTTATGGAGATTTTCGATCATTTCCCGATTCCTGTAAAGCGACCTTGCAAAAGCTTATCGGCAAATTCCTGTGGCTAAAGACGAGATTTGTAAGACAGCAATAGTAACTTTATTTAAACTTTTCAAATTCCATTTTATGAAATTCGGGCTTCGAAATGCTGGACAAACCTTCCAACAGTTTATGGACCAAGTTTTACGCGGACTGGAATTTTACTTTGTGTACATGGATGATATTCTCATCTATTCGCGTTCTTCATCTGAGCACAGTCTTTGAGCGTCTCTCAAAATACGGGCTTGTTATCAACGTTGAGAAGTCTGTCTTTCATATAGCCGAAATCACTTTCATTGGATACATGATCTCGACAAAAGGAATCCGGCTCCTCGAGATTACATCGAAGCAATACAAAATTATGCTTTACATAAAACGGGTACTCTTCTCGTATATCTCCGCAGCGAAGCGTCGCTCGCTCTTTTTACAGACGCATCTAGTCATTCTATTGGAGCTTGAGTTCAAAAATTAGTCAATAACACCTGGCAACCTTCGGCGTTCTTTTCAAAGAAAATGACGTCTAAGGAATGTGCTTGGCCAGCGTATTATCGTGAGCTTCTCGCTATTTAAGCAGCCATTCAGCATTTTCGACATATCTTAGAGAGACATTCATTCACGATTTTCACTGATCACAAGCCGTTGATCTAAGCTTTTCAGCAAAATGGCGAGAAACTTCCACCAATCCAATTAAATCGACTTTCTTTCATTTTCGAGTTCTCCACCGACATTCTATTGTTAAAGGCAAAAAGAACGTTGTTGCGGATTCTCTGTTTCGTGTGCAAGCCATCGTACAAACTCTTAATTTCGAACTTGTGTCGCAAGCTCAAGAAGATGACGAGGATTTACGTCAACTTCGACAAAAGTCTTCTCTTCAACTTGAGTGTACTCTAGTTCCTGGCACTAAAATTAAAATTTTCTGCGACTCCTCTACTGGAAAAATGCGATCGTACATTACTTCGGCATTTCGTCGTCTTATTTTTGATCAGCTGCACAATCTGAATTGCCCTTGCGTCAAGGCATCGATTCAATTGGTAAAATATCGTTTTGTTTGGCCTTCGATGGGAAAAGATTGTCGTGCTTGGGCTCGCACTTGTTTAGATTGCCAAAGATCTAAAGTATCTCGTCACGTGCACTCACTTGTAGGTACTTTTCAAACACTTTCTCGGCTTCTTGGCTCTTTTCCATCACTTACAGTTCAAATGTATGCTGATGGGTCTGAAAGAGTCCCCTCAAACCTTTCAAGCTCTTATGGAAAAGATGTTATCCGGACTGCAGATAATCGAACTTTTCACATAGATGGATGACATAGTCATATACACTTTGTTCTGAGAAGAGTCTAACTATACGGTCAGATAAATGTTTTTTTTTTTTTTGCAAAAGGAGGTCAGCTACCTCGGACACATCATATCAGAAAACTGAGTTAGGCCAGATGCCTCAAAAGGCATTGCAGTACAAGATTTTTCAAAACTGGGTCAAATTAATGAATAACACTGACACCCTTTCATGAAATCTCGTATATCGAACTATTACAGCACTATTAATCATCCTTTTTTTGTTAAAGAAGGAGATGACGAAGATGATAATTTGTACATTGAGAAATTCATTTTGCCTGAGCTTCATTTACTGCAAGGTTTTGTAAACCATATTTTTGGAACGGTCTTGTTCCAAAGATTGAGCGTGAAAAAGCTCTACCCTGGCCCCACAAATTTTCCTTGGTTCCTAAAACCTATGGAGGTGAAATTTTCAAGGAAGAAGCTTCTGAAACACGCAGATAAACTGGATGATCCCGAAATCTACGAGATAGTAGGGCCATTTCGTTTGCAACCTTATATTGCTTCATTTAAAATTATGAAAAAAATCGTAGATTCATGTTTTTTTACAAGACGAGCTAATATTAGTAATTCAGATGTAAATTTGACGGCTCTTCATAAAACTATTGTCAGTACCGGAGTATCTCAGACTCTAAAAATTTATGTGCTTTTAGATCATCTGAAAGATGGTCTTTTTTTTAAATAATGATGGCTTAGGATTGTGGTTGGACCAAGCAGGTGAATCAATTCATCGTTAGTTTTTGAAGTATTCTGAGCGCTATAAAATAAATGCAATTGATGATAAATTACTCTCAATCAGATTGAAGAGGGCAGTTGTTACTTTCTCGTCTCAACATATGTTAAGGCGCTATGTGTGGATTATGCCTATAAGGGATACCACGTAAAAAAAAGCGCCACTATATATATCTCATTAGATGATATCAATGTGGAAATTGTATCAATATTCTTATAACTTTGACAAATATTGATTATTTTTGCGATAATTTTAGTCGTAACTATGGTTGTACATAAATATTTATATAGCAAATAATGCAAGTATGTTTTAAATAAATATAAATAGTACGATCCACTTCTGACTGATCGTGAAGAAAAAAATTGAGATTTCAAGATATAAAGTGGAAAATACGCATAACTTTTGAACACAACTTTTGATAGCACCACTATAATTGTAGTTGTTCAGCTCTATCTCTCTCGATCATCATTCGAATCTTAGCCCTGTCCCTACGACCCGTCATCTACGTATAAACTAACTGACGTGGCACGAAGCCGCTAGTAAAGACTGTAAATATTATTAATCGAAAATTGCGATATAATATAGAATTTATTTGGCTTATGTGTATGCAATTTATGTTTGTTCTATTATTTAGGCATCACATCCGTACTAGCTCCCTTTCTAAATAAGGCCTAATTATTGTTCTTCAAATGATTTGATAACAGTGATTCATATTCGGAAGTCCTTTTCCCTGTTAACAGGAATTGGCAGACGTCGTCCCGAATGGACATATCCTACTCTAGGTAAAAATCATTACAAAATGTAAGGTATACGGGCGAGTATGCCGTGGCGCGCGTCTATGAATGTATACAAACAGCCAGCGAGCCGATCGGGCCAGCAGTCGCTGAGCAGTCGCTGAGCAGTCGCTGACAGAGAAAGTCAATAAAAGCCTTACTGACGGTTAAATATTCGACGACTAAGACTCTCATTCTTTTGCCTTTTTAACCCTTACAAAAATAGCAAAAAAATTACCTCAAACGCTCTTAAAAAAATGTTTCCCACAAGGCAGTGTCCTCGGGCCGTTATACCTACTGTACACAACCGACATACCTTCTTCGGAAAATATACTAACAGCAAAACCATCTTATGAAAATTGAAAACTGGACAAAAAAATGGCGAATCAAGATCAATGAAAGGAAATCGGAGTATATCACCTTCACCCTTCGAAAGGACAACTGCCCAAATGTTTACCTGAACGGTATCCCCTTTCACGAGAGCAGTAAAATACCTTGGCATCTATCTGGATAGACGGCTGACATGACGGACACATATATGGACGAAGAGGAAACGGCTCGGTCTAAAACCAAGGAAACTATACTGGATGCTTGGCAGAAAGTCAGCAATGACTCTTGACAACAAGCTACTGTTATACAAGTCCCTGCTCAAACCAATCTGGACCTACGGAATTCAAGTGTGGGGAGCAGCTTGCAAATCGAGTATTGACGTCATAGAAAGGTTCCAATCAAATACAGTGCCAATGCTAGTCGATGCTCCATGGTATGTGACAAACGAGGCGATCCAAAGGGACCTGAACTTGCCATCTGTCAGGGAGTTGACAAGGATGAGTAACGAAACATCCAAACATATTGACAGAGAATCTAAGAAACACGTACTTCCGCAATTCAAGATTAAAAAAACATAAAATCATAAAGATGGGTCAAAATAATACTTTTTTACAAAACCGTGCGCACGTATGTCACCGATCTTGACGCGCTTTTGGTATGTTATAGTACATGGTAAAGAGGTCCCAAAAAAAAATTTTTAGACCCCCTCCCCTCTCCTACCCCCCACTTCCGGTATAAACGTCCATTTTTGATCTATAATTTTTCTGAGAACATGAAGCAATTAAAATATCTGAAAAAATTCACAAAAATACTTTCCAACAATCCAAACAACCTTGAATTTTTTCAGATTTTTTAAGTGCTTCAAGCCTTCAGAAAAAATCATTGAAAATTCTAAAAATCGAGATACGGCGATATGAGCCGATATAGTAAACGGACATTTTTTCAGTTTTTTATTGCATTGAAAAACATAACCTCAATTTTTTTCAGATTTTTTCAGATGACCTAACGCACTTTTTGCAGCCAAAAACCGCTTTTTTTGACGAAAATAATTTTTTTAGGACGGTACAGGGCCTCAAAAAATCTGAAAAAAATGTTTTCTCGTTTTTTTTCATCAAAATACATAACCTCAAATTTTTTCAGATTTTTTAATTGAAGGCGATAGCTTCTAGAGCTGAAAAATTTTATTTTTAACACAAAAGGGTTCCTAGAACCTGATGGTTCCGGTGAAAAAATTTTAAAATATTTTCTTTGAATTCCTTGTCAAATTTAAATAAATTTTGACAGTTTCAAAAGTTTGATTGGAGCTTCCTAGCTCAATCCAAGTGCAAGTGAATGTAGTAAGGCTCAAATAAATCTATCAAGATCTTTAAATTATCTCTCAAAATAATAAATACAATTAAATCAAATTATTTACCTTTAATTTTGCACAGTTGTAATGCTATGAAATATAAATAGTAAGTAACATAATACAATCGAGGTATCTTCATATTCAATATTTCAGTCAACTATACGATCACCTGAAAAAATATTTAACAAAAATGTATATACATCTCAATAAAAATAAAAAGGTTTCACAATTTTTGGCTAAATGAATGCAAGCTACCATTTTCCTAATTCATTTTAGAACTGCCGCTAATCAATAAAAAGAGCTATACATAAATTATTTTTTCTTAAGAAATTTTAAAACATTTACTTTCTGTTCTGCTATGCTGAAAATCATCACGTGAAAAATCACATAAGGAATCACAAGAGAAATCACGTGATAAATCACACCAAAATATCACGTGATATTTCCGTTTGTGAACTTTTTAAAAATTATTCATCAACCCATATCAAATACATAAAAATCTATATATTACGCATTCAATGAATCTCGCGCTAAAATTTTGGCCTCCCCAACAAATCTGGAAAATCTATGACTAAAAAAAAAAAAATAATTTTATTATATATTGATGTAAATTAAGATAAACTACATTTGACCTCTACAGATGTCACTCTCCGGAGAATTGTAAATAGAACGATGTTAGTATTAAGTTGCGCCGCTAGAGGGCGGGGGCGAAACCCGCAGTTAAGAAACACGAGTTGTAGCCTTATATAGAGGCACGTCGGGTGAGCGAAATGGTACTCACTCCGAGTCGAAACTGGAGTATAAACAATAAATCGACACTTTTTAGAATCGGATAAATCGTTTTGTTATTTATCTGAGGATTTGTCCGCCTCCCCTTCCTTCCTCTCACCTAAGTCTACAGGGCACCTCAAGAACGCAAGACGGGAGCCGCCGCCGCCGACCATCACCCTCCAGGAGTATGTCGCCGCCGCCAAGGAGCTGCATCTACACCGGCGGATCCTGCTACACCTCGTGGACCGGAGACTACGGAGCTACCTGCACGGATCGATCCCGCGCCTCGACCCCGCACACCTCGCGGCCCGGACCCTCGTCACTTCAGAGCTTTTCATAAACGGAGCGCAGACACCACCGCTGCCAACGAGATAGAACGAGAACAACGTACGCCTGCTTCTTCGAGTGCTCTCGTCAAGCCGGAATCGCATCAATATATACCTTGAATTCACAAGGTATATAAATAATAAATACCTTTTATTTACAAGATATGTACATTGTACAAGGTATATACATTATATATATACCTGGTACATACCTTGTAAATACAAGGTATATACATTATATATACCTGGTATATACCTTGTGAAAACTTATTTTTTAAATTTACTACAGATAGATAAATTTACTACATTAAAATGGTATCGTTACTATTTTGAAGCCCCTACGTTTTACTAACTTCCTCAAAAAAAGATCATGTATTCGATTTTCGGTGGTTAAAAATTCAAACGTTGGGCGATGGCTTCGCAAAAGCGTCAGATGTATCGGCAAAATCAAGCTACTTAGTGTGCATAAAGTGCTCTATTAGCGTTTGATAAATTGAATAGACATATTTATAATTCGATTGATTATTTAAATTGCATTATTTAAGCAATAAATAATAAGTAAGCTTTGGTTATTTGTTTAGAATATGCTTAACTCATTGCATTTGTTAAGGGTTATAGGCACTTTTAAATTGAAAACACTTTTATTTAATTTTTGGAAAGGATTTTTTGACTAATACTGCAAAAAACAAATTTTGTGGACTGGCTTGAATTCTTGAAGTCTGAAATTGAATTCACCGATCTCCTGCAATACATTAAGTTCAAAAGCTCTACGATACAGTCACTAGAAGAAAGATCAAAGATTAATAATATTATAAATTATATAATAATTAGTAGATTTTATAATAGTCTCCAGTCAAAAATTGCTCTTAAAAGAAGTGACTGAAATATTGAATAAATTAAAATAATTAAAATTTTCAACTAATTAAGGACTGAAGGCATTGCAGGAAATTTCAATATGATTTTTAATTTATAAATATAATTGATAATTGTACTAGGAGAAAGTCAACTCTTCTATTCGGGCTGTGTTTTGACTTTAACAAATTTTTTTAGGAAATTTTTTCAATAAAAAATCTACAGGTTAATGTCGATTATCTCGATATTTTTAAGAATTGTTACATTCTTGTCTCCTCTTCGATTGGTGCAGTTCATTTTGAAATCGGAAAGTAATTATTGAGATAGATTGACTTGAGCATTCAAGTCAAGTTTTAACTTCAAAATCAATTTTTGGAAACTTTTGCATTAAACCATTATAGAAAAGAGCAAAAAAATTTATATGGTTTGATGTTTTTCTGGTTTCTCTGAAGTAATTGTGAGCGAGCTAAACATCTGACACTTTCGATGAATAACGCCGTAATCTTGTGGAGTCGCGAACTTATGCTAGACGCGCTGATATATACTAGTTACAGTAGATCGATCACGCGGTTGTTTTACAGACATTTTGCAATACTCAGCTCGACTCTAGCTAAATATTTGTGCAGCCAGAGATTTGAAAATTTTTATACCGAAAAAACATTTCAAGTGACTTTCGTGTTATAATTGTTCAGACAAGAATTTTTATTGCATAATTTCTTTTTTTTTTTAACTACTTACAAACCTTTCATATTTGCTGATATATAGGTTTTAAAGGTAAATAAGATAGCCACGGTAGTAGAAAATGTATTTTGAAAATTCGGTTAATAAGTAACATCTCAATAAAATTTAGGTATTTTGTACATCAAAATTAATGTAAAAAATTTGTTTCCGTATTAGTTTCTAGAGAAAAAGTTTCGGAGATTGTTGAAATTTTTTTATCTTATTGCAATGAAATAAATTAAATTCGACGATAAGAGTTTAATGTTACACTAAAATTTTCAAACATTTTTAAAAAATGTTTAAAATAAAAATTTTAGTCCATAAATCAAAATACTCGTTAATAAATTAAATTCTAGAGATATTCATAGACAGAAAATGGTATTTAGCAAAGTTTGATAGTTTGCAAATATATTCATGACTCTTCTATCATAAATAAACTACAGCTATGACTGAAAAGTTAATGCATGAAAAGAATTTATTTTTATCCTACCTCCCACTTCATTTTACAAAATATCAAGAACTAAGTCCTAACTTGATGATTAATTTATTGTAGAATGATATTACATATCAGATAAGATTGTCATATTATGTGAAACCATAAATTTTACGAACATTAACTATTTATTTTGGGTACAATATTTTTTACGAATTGAACTTCTTTGAATTTCAATAAAATTGATTTTCTTGAAATAAAAAGTAACAAAAAAATAATCAATGTCCTGTTCTGGAAATATCTTTTGCAATATACAATACTACAATTATTATGATTGAGTGAATGATTCTATATGCTTTTTATGATTTGAGAAATAATACTAATAAAATTTTATAAATAATAGGTTTTATTGTAATTGCGGTAATTATAGAAAAGTATCATTTTATATATGGAAATTTGAAATTTTTTACCACAAACATAGATTATTTTACTTTTTTTTTATGCAAGCAGATGCTTCAAATTCCTGAAATGAAAATTGCATTTACCTTATTGTATTTATTGATTTAAACACTTATTAAGAAATCTTTTTTCCTATGTTTGTAAAATTTTAAACTTATAGAAAGTCCTACTTTAGATTTAATGATTAAAGTCCTGATTTCATCATTACATTTTTTAACTGAAGTGACAGCATAACAACAGCATCAATTATGAAAACTTATGAGTTGGTAAATTTATTTATCATAAAGGTACAATTGTACATTGCAACCAAACGTGACGAATCAGAAAACATTTTTTAAAGTCCAAAGCATTTTCCACAGATTTCAATGACATTCAGAGATACATTTTTCCTGCAAAAAAAAATGATATAATTTTTTATAAACTCGAGAAACTTGTTTTTAATTTTATAAATTACTAGATTTAAACTCATTTTCAAAGTTCAATAGTATTTTAGAAAGTTTATTAAAATTCATAAAATTAAATATGAGTTTTTAAAAAATACAAATATTTTATATGCAAAAATTAAAAATAAAATTTATCATATTTTATTACATTTTAATTTTTATAAATAAAATTTTCGATAGTAATCATATTTCATCTAACAATTTTTTTTTTCAAAAGTTAGACTTGTAACGGCTGTCATCTGATTGATTGATTGAGTGACTGATTGATTACTTTATCTGAAACGGACGATGGGTGAAACCCTGCTTGGTGCTTTTAAGGCCAAGACTAGACATTGTACTGATTGCGAATAGTGCAATAATAATCACAATTATAGGTATTTGTGAATAAAGAATATAGATTTTTATTTTACCTCTATAGAAATCAAGTTTATCTATCTATGTTTTTTAACGTTTATGAACTTTTATATAAATGAATTGTTAGATTCTAGACAGATAAAACTAAAAAAAAATGTTGAACTCTTAATAATGATTTTTTTTTAAGTTTAAAAAATTTTATTCGTAAAATTTTTGATTCTTAAGTAGTCACATTTTTATTAGTTCTTCTATCTTTTTAAATGACTAAAATTTATCAATTTCTGGCTAAAAATTACTGCTTGTTAAAATGTAAAAATAATAATAGTTGTGTTGTAAATGGCGTCAAGTATCCAATGAATCCGAGCTTTTAAGACCATTTGTTAGTTTTTTTCTCAATAGTAATTGGGAGGATCACCCCGGGTCTTACCGCAATGAATACAAATTTCTTCGCTTTCCGGGTTATCTTACGAATCCTCGTGACATTTAGGTGGGTTACATGTGGAATAATTCGCCGGTTCATTAAGTGCGTACTCCTCGTCACTTTCATCGCTGGAGATTGGTTTTCCTTCGCACGCCATTTTTCAAAACTTTATTTTTTTATAAATCAGTACATAACCACATTCACGAACAGTGTAACAATGAATGGAATGATGAATTCCGAGTCTTCTCACTTGGCGCGCGTTATGTACGCTTGTGCGCTGTTCGCTTATTTTGCGCTCGTATCTCAGCGAGCCCATATGAGAAATATAATATAACATCGTTACGAGTGTCATTTATCTCTTTTATGTATTAATATGGGATTATTCTTAAGCACATCACGTGTAGGAAGGTATCTATGGATTTCATTAAAATATTGACTGTCAATATTTTTATTATTATTATCATCAACTAGGATCTTAGTCATGATCAGTAAAGTCAGCAATTATATTGTGACTTGCTCAGCGTCAAGTGTTTCTTTTATAATTAAAAAAATTACTTTTCAAAAAAGTGTAATAATTTCAGACTGATTTATCAAATATTCAAAAACTTTAATTTTGTTAAAAATACTGGATTTTGTTAAAAATAATCGAGAAAACGACATGGCAAAAGGTTTCCTTCATCCTGTACGCATACGGACGAAAGGGGATTACCTGATTCAGTGAAATGTTTTACCGGTGAAAGTATCCCATCAACGCACCTCTTGTATATCCGCTTTTATAATTATTAATTTTTAAATTATATTTATTTTTGACTTTTAAAAATATTTCTTAATTAAGAAAAATATACATAGATTTGTATTAATATTAATGTTTTTGTTCGAGAAATATTCGAACAGGGCAGAAGCGCAAGGCCTGTACACACACACGTTCACGTGTGTGCAAGCCTGCGCGTAACTCCCACTGCGAAGCAAGAGATGGTGTTGCGCCGCGGCACGTGCCGATGGCATCTCTGCTATCTGAGCATTGTTCGCGAACACCTCCTTCTCGTTTTTGCACTCGCCAAGCAAGCATCTCGTGTGTGTGTGTCTCGTGCGACGACAACTTTCAACAAAGAAAATTCCCGACTTCACCATCAAAGCTACTTCGAGCATCATCTTGTTAAGACGAGAGTGAAGATGCTCCTTTGGCCTTAAGTTTTTTTGTGGTCCTGAAAAGGACCGATTGGCTTCTTGGGCAGTGTTGTCACTGCTGTTCAGCTCTTTTCTTCTTCCGGGCTATCGACCTGTGGTGATTCCTTTCTTTGCGGTGGTCCAAGCGAAAGCGTGGACGCTTGGCTGGTGGTGGACTGGTGGGCCCGTTAGGCGAGGCAGGCGGCGTCAAGGCTCTAGGCGGAGAGCGAGGAGTCACTGGTGGTCCTAGACGGGAGAGAGCTGATCGTCGATGAGGCGAGGTGTTTGCTGTTTCTGGTAGGAAGGCCAGTCCAAAGTGGCGTTTGACTGTCACGTCAGGTGACCTTGGCGGCGTCCGGATTTGCGGCCGAGGACGTGGTGGCACTGATGGTTTCAATCGAAGCTTGACTGTCCGATGTAAGTGGAACGGAATCGGTGGATTCTCCAACAGATATGGAGAAAACGGACAGCCCAGTGATCGAAGTGCTATTGGCTGTCTCAAGCCTGGCGACTCGGCTCGAAGAGTGCGGGCGGGTGGCACGGAGAGTTCGGGCCGAGTTGGCTGACGGAGACAAGCCTGTCCCTCGTTGTTGCAACGATTAAGTCCGCTGCCCGGCGGGATTACCACTACCGAACGCAGGCGCTCAAGAGGCAAACGTTCGTCAGTTGGTCTTTCTGCGTGGAAGCGAAGATATCTTTCGCCGTCGCTCGCAGAATCCGAATCAAAAAAGAAACGAAGGTCCTGAGAAGGACCCTTGCTCAGTTGTGCGTTCGAATGATCCACGATGGCTGAGAGTCGAACAGTTGGAAGGTCCAGACTTGTTCTTCGCTCGGAAGTGAGATCGAGAGTGAGTTAGGCTCGTCATCTTGCCGTCTTATATACTCGTTTGCCCTAGGGGTGGGGAGAGATCGATAAGATGGCAGGTGTGGGTCTTTAACAAAGTCGAAGACCTTTGAGCGATGGCCCCGAAAAAACCAGGAGCCCAATGAGTTTTAGAGTTTACGCTCTGTAACTCAAGAAGCTAGTTAGCATCAGACTTTAATAAAAGTCTGATGGCTTTCGAACGGTAGCCTCGAAAGGCTAATGGCCTAAAGAGTTTTAGAGTTTATAACTATAAAACTCAAAAGTCGGCTGGTGATCGAACTTAATAAAGTTCGATGAAATTCGAACAGTGGTCCTGAAAAGGGTCGGAAACCGACAAGAGTTTCAGAGTTTGCACTCTGGAACTCGATAAGTCGGCTGGTGTTGGATTTTTTGCAAAGTCCAACAACCTTTCGAACGCGGGCCCAGAAAAGGATGCCCAGTGCCGTAAAGAGCTGTAGAGTTTTAACTCTACAGCCGACTGAACAGCGCGCGTCGACCTTGGCTAGAAGGGCGCACGTCGCTTGAGGGTGCCGGCTCGGTGCCACCTAGCGGTCAATGTCGAAGCTTCGAATGGCAGAAGCGGATGAGGAGGCTGGGAAGGTAGTGAGAAAAGAAAAGTCGTTGTTTTTGCTGAGAGACAAAGTTAAATTCTTTATAACAACTTCGTCCCTATCCAGCCAACAACCTTGACAACTCGAGCGCGTCGAGTTGTAAAAGACTCTGAAGGCCAGAGAATCATGTAAACTCCAGAGATTGGAGAAAACACTTCGCTTGGGTCTTGGTGACTCTTAGGTAGAGTGCCAAACTTCTCCGGATGGGGCCAGGAGTTGTGCTCAACGCAAGAGCTCGCGAGCGAAGGCCTAGCGCGCCAGCTTATATAGCGCGGCGCCCCCACCACCGCCGCCGGCAGTTCGCTTTGGTTTGGGAAACAGCGCCGATCACAGTGAGGCTGAGAAACGGCGCCAATCCGCAAAGCTCGGCGTGACTTGCAGTGCGCGTCTAAAATACGCGTTTGGCGTATATCAATCTACGAAGACTTCTCACCAACTCGACTCCTCCCGATCACCTCAACAAGCGCAAGTCAGTCAACGAGGACGTTCCAGCAAGCTCTTCTCATCGCTTTACTCATCGAAGCGCAACTCATCGGTCTGCGAATCGGAGTCAACTCATCGATTGTGACCAGGTAAAGACACCATCCAGGCGGCAAAAGAGGACCAATAATGTCTACTGCAGGCCTGGTGGGATCTTTTTATCATCACCTCAACTCTCGGGATTATTTTGGAGCATCTCAATCGCACGAGCACAAGACAAGAGAAAGTGAGGTTATACGTTGCCATGTGCAATCTCACGAGATCTTGGTCAATTCATCCGGCTCACACATGCAAACGAAAGGATTAATTTAACCTCTTCGTTGTGCTCCGGTCTACTCATAAATCAAGTTCGCAACAGTGAAGTGCCGTGTTCAACACCGACCACTTTGCTGCCATAGTGCCGGCCATTTTTCACCATCAGCGAAGCAGCAGCAGCGGAGACGACACCTGAACGAGTCTCTTTGTCGGAACGTGTACGAAAGTACAACTTGCCGCAAGGGCAACCTGACTCTTCGCCGTGGCCAGCACTCCCTAAACACGCATCGGAAGAAGCAGCGGCAGCAGCAGCAGCGGCGTAGCAGTGATTCGGGACCTCGGCTGCGTTTGCCTGTGTTGCGGCGTTTGACCAGCCAAGAATAAAGGTACTTGAAGGAGTTTTTGTGCTAAATTTTCTCGCTCTCGTATTCGCTCGAGGCTCTCAACGGGGTGTCGAGTATTGTCGTGACGAAGAGGTTCAAGTCCGACATTCGTTTTGTGCAGAGCATCAGTATCCTGCCTCGACCAACCGCCATTTTCGCTGCGGCCAGTCGTCGTTGCTGGCAGTTTTGCCGCGCGACAGTTACGTCAGTTGGCGGCCATCTTGTACATTCGAAATTGGGGTTCGGC